GAGACAGCCAAGACTTCAACAAGTCTGCTGTTCAACATATTCTTTTCCCCAATGAAAAAAGAATCTTGCTAGAAGCCCGCTCTCAAGCACTCCATTTCACGGAAAGCTTATTTGTAAAGTGATGCTTCATTGTTAACATCAGCATCCATTTATATTTGAAAATCTGGCCCAAGGCAAAAGAGTTAAAAAAACCCAAACCAAAAAAAAAAAACCCTCCCCTACATGTATTAACAAACGCATGCATCAAACTTCAGGAATGCACAATGTGCAGACAAGTCTCCTGGTGGCCACCCATTAGGCAGCCCAGACCAAACACTGACGATCTCTTTCTTGTACAGCACAATTAATAAAGAGAGGAAGCTGATGAGGAAGGGGGTGAGTGGAAGACTGAGAAAGAAAGAGACTCAAGGGCATTTAGAGTTGGGCTCAAACAAATGCTTTTTTCCCTCCTCCCTCAAAAACCGGGTAAGATTTCCACTGTCCTGCACATAACACACTTCCATTTTCCTTAAACTCCCTGGTTTCTATTTTAAATACTAGTTTGTTTTTTGAGGGGTTTTTTGGTTGTTTTGTTTTTACAAGCAAAGTAGTAACCAAGCTGGCAATCGAGCCTCGCAGAGTGCCCACAGGTCAGATCCCGATGGCCGCTCTCATGTCAGTCCTGAGATAGCCCTGGTCCTCCGTCAGGCACAGACCTCCTACTTGCCACGGTGATTACGACACGTTTCTGGGCATGACTTGAACCCAATCCTGCGGTCTGGGCTCAGTCACCGTGCCTTGTCAGGGCGACCCGCGCTCCAGTTCTCAGAGCAACCCTAGCTGGGTGTGGTGGTGGACTTTGCACTCCTGTTTCTGAACAGAGAAACTCTCGATCAGGATGTGGCAAAAAAGCAATGCAGCTCAAAGCACAAAGTCTGTAAGAAATGCTAGAAGGATGGGTTGAACACGTGTTTAACGGTCACTATCTCAAAGTTCATCGGTGTAACTCATGGCAGGCGAGCAGCCTACTTGCAGAGCAGGAAGTTGTTCTCTGGAAGCCCTGACGCAATACAAACCGGGGCAGTTGCAGCTCAGCTTGAATACCAACCCTCTAGAGTCCACGTTGACAAATTCTTTAACAAGCCCTGTGGTTACAGGGAAGCTGGTTTCAGTCTGAGTCACTCCTGTTCAAACAGTTTACTGGAAATGGAGGGGAGGGGGAATTTTCAGAGAAGTCATGTGATGGCCAGACAAACCACAACCAGCAAAGGTTCAGTGGAGTCAAAAACAGGTCTCGGCAAAAACTGACACTCAGTGTGCAGATGGCACTCGATCATTTATGGCGAGTCCTGCTTTATCTCAGGGTTTACATGGTATTAACCCTTTTCCCAGCCCGGGTTTTTAAAGGAAGCCAGGACCCAGTTTGGAAGGTAAACAAACAGCACGAACTGATAGTAACATAGGCAACTCAAAAATATTTTTTTTACTGGGAAACTTGGCTCAGGCAAGAGGGAACAGAAGCAAACCCCAAGCACTTGATGTGCAAACCATTAATCCTCAAAGAATATGCCACTTAAAAATGAATCCAGACACTTCGAGTCATTCATGATTAGATGTACAATGAAGATATTGTTAGGTTTCCTTCTTAGGGAAGGCCAACGAGATAGCAAGAGCCTCCACATTTTGCAGTATCATCTGTGGACAGGCTGCACACTGCCACCAAGCTTCCTTTTCACCAGAAACCTGTCAGCTTTTAAGTGCTTCATGGTCTTACAGAAGAAGACGGGGGTCAGAAAACATTTTAACTATCAGCTGCTACTGAACTGGCAAAAACTGTGTTAAAATACTATACGTATATAGGAAAGTATACAGTCATATTTGCACTGTGTCATTACCAGTGTGCTGCTCCAACACTAAGCAGTAGATTCACTTCCCCTAATTGAGAGGTTGGTTTGAGACGTTCCACTAGCGCTACATCTTCTCATCGCTCAAATGGGGAGCCCTGACAAAACAGCTCAGAGCTCTGGGATTTCACGGGATAAGAGAAGCAGCAATGTGGAGGAAAAAGGGGTGGGGTGAGGGATTGGAAATGAAACAACAAATTCTACAGAAAATAATAAATCACAAGAAACTGAAAAGTATAACATTGAACACGTCGCACAAAATGACTGTGGTCTCCAGTGAAAAAGTAATCCTGCTTGAAAAGAATAAACACGGCAGCATTACAGAATTGCCGGACAACCAAGAAGAACAAAGCGACATGAAGCAATTAGAGGGACGAAGCTATCTTTACGCAACCTACACTTTAACTGGCCAACAAAAACAGAAGTGGTGTTCCATTAAGCTGAGGGGATTTTTTTATGTAGATTAATGGAAAACAAGACGAAAATCTTGTACATCATCAGCCAGCTAATGGGTTCTCTCAAAGTGTGACTCAAGAAGACCAACCACTTCAACTAGCAGTAATGACAGAAAACCCAGTGAATGGAGATAATATTCTTATGCCGTGTGAGCCTGAATGGAATGACTGGTCTCATCCTTTATACTACATGATCTACTAAAGTAATTTTCTTCCTAAGTCTTTTATTAAAAATCCCCAATGAGCAGCATCTCTCTCTCTTCCCTGTGGATTGTACAAACTGGATGTTACACGGAGAATGCCTCAAGAATTGTCATATTTCTCTAAAACAGGTTTTTCAGAAACAGTACCAACATTTTTTTTTTTTTTTTTTTTTTTTTTTTTTTTTTTTTTTTTTTTTTTTTTTTTTTTTTTTTTTTTTTTTTTTTTTTTTTTTTTTTTTTTTTTTTTTTTTTTTTTTTTTTTTTTTTTTTTTTTTTTTTTTTTTTTTTTTTTTTTTTTTTTTTTTTTTTTTTTTTTTTTTTTTTTTTTTTTTTTTTTTTTTTTTTTTTTTTTTTTTTTTTTTTTTTTTTTTTTTTTAGAAAATAATACAAATACGCAAAAACGGCATGTTCTTTGGGTCTGCTTTGTCAGCACGGGCAGCAGCTCACAAAGTAAACCAGGCCCGTACCTTGAAAGGATTCTTTCTAGTATTTGACATTACAAAATATTTGTTGTCCTCCGCTGGCATCAGATTCATGTCACCCTCTGCTTTCTTAAGCACGGAGGCTCAAAATTAGTGAGAGGCACTGATTTACGTAGTAAAAACCTTACTATTAAGCAATTTCACACTGCAAATGCTGATAAAGCCAAAGCTTTTGCTAATGGCTAATGATGCCAGGATTTGCTCGAGGTCATAGGAAGAAAGTCATGCCCGTCTCCCGCAGACATGGAGCAAAAACATGCTAGAAAGCCAAATGCGGAAAGGAAGTGGAGTTGGCGAGGGGAAAAAAAAATGAACTGTCAGTTTAAGACAGTACCGCAATTTCATCAGACTGTCATAGCCTCGTGTAAATGTATCTGGTAGAAATCAGACCACAAGTGCAGCTTTAACAAAATTTCTTCTGACCATCCACCCTCAAAGTGGTGTTTTAATCCAAACTTAATGGCTGAGAAAACAAAATCAAAGTACTGGTAAACATGGCCATTTTTCTTAATGAAAGACACCATTTCAGTTGTTCATCCCGTACACAGGCAACGGAATCGAGGACTATTTTTTGGCCTCTCTTGACAAGATAGCTGTTAGCAGAGATTTTATGCCCGAGAATCCTACCAGGCATGTTGGAAACCCCTTTTTTTATTTTTAAATAAAACCACACAACTTGCTGGGAGATTCACAGAAAACAGAAGAGGGATTATAGCAATTCAGCAGTCATGCATTTAATTAGATTCTGTATCGTACTGGGCGTTTACATTTCTTCATGAACCGAGGACTGATTTGCAAAATAAGGACATAGCAATGGGGTCAATATTAATAAATTAAGCAGGGATTTTTTTTTTTTGTTGCCAATACACCTTAAAGAGAAAGAACTCACTTTACTATTTTATAGTGCCAGAGGAGCACATCATGAAGAGGTAGCAAACTAGGCAGCATTAAGATTATGATTAACACTATCAGGCTAGACTCAGTGTTAACTGGCAAATATTGTATGCAACCACTTCTCTAAGAGAAGCTATGAAACATCAACACTCCTCATGTCATGACTGGGTGTTTTCTTTGCTACAATAGTGTGTTTATCAAAGAACAAGCGGTGGAAATCTTTTGCTAAACACAGTGGATAGTATCAGCTGGATTCTTTCATTTAAAAAACTCCCCAAAGTCTCGTGACCCTCTGCTACCTAGCAGTTTGTTAGACAAACAACCCTGAGTAATAAGGGAGATTATGGAAGAGAAATCCAAGAGCCAAACATTTCTGGGAAAAAAAAAAAGAATGTTTCTCTAAGTGGCACCTTTAAAAACTGTAAATAACTGAAGGACTGAAGCACGTACAAACTGCTGATCTGTACAAAAGCTGTTAAAAAGAGAAGGAAAAAAAAAAAGTCATGTGGGTTTGATTAAGGGACAAAATAGTCTGGAGGTTGGGGGGGGAAGCTGCGAAGCATATAGCCGTTTAACCCATAAAGAAAGAGAAGAGGAATAAGAGCACAAGCTGAGAGAAAATTCACATAGCTCAGCTGTCTTTTCACATGAGGAAAAATGCGTTTCCTCACGCTGCTGAAGATGACGAGGCACTGGCAGTGCAGGGCCAGGCAGGTTAGTAGCACCTAGTGGGCACATGCTGGCTGACGGCGCTGCTCAGCTGGTCCCATCAGTGCAGTCGATCCACTGCATCCTCCCTCCTCTCCGTGAGCCCCCACTTCCTTCCTATTACCACGCTATATCTGTAAAAGCACCTGCTGGCCATTACCTACTGTGGCTGGATGAACACATCCCTGCCTCGCCCCACGATACGCTTTATTTCAATTTTCACCACAGGCTCCGTGTCCAAGTGCAGGTCTTTCTTATGAGCAGCCTCTCCCGAAGGCACTGTTTTCTATGCCAGCGCACAGCTGTCTAGGGCACCTCAATGGGGCTGTGTTTTATGTTACGTGCATGCATCCTGCTGTCTAGCAGCGTTCTTACTTGTGCAGCCTCTGCGTGTTCCAGCATCTCCTCAAATTCCTGGTACTCTTCATCATCAGGCTCAGCACCGGAGAGTCGGGCTGCCCGAGCCATGAAGTATGGAGGTAGCTCTCCAATAGCTGTGCCAGCACCCTGGGTACAAAATAATCATCATTTTATCAGGGTCATTTTTGTTCTTAGTGCTCTTAAAAGTAGTAATGTTTGCACACCATTCCTCCTGGGTCATTAAAAATACATATAAAAAAACCCAACTAACACAAGGTTATCACACAGAATGAAGGAGATCCCTGCCATTGCCTCCAATGGAAATTCATCATTACTGGACACATTTCTCCTGACTTTAATCCTTACCTAACTGACGTTGGCAAACTACGCCTCCCTTTCCTAGTTTAACTAAGCCCAGTCTCTTCCACGAGAAACTAGAACATTTTATGTTGTACTAAAATTAAACAGTTATGCAAAGTCAGTTAATTATAATACAGGCTCAAACTCTTCTACCATTATAAGCAAAGGAAAAATAGGGATAAATGAAAGCTTAATCTACCTAGCATTTTATCTTTGCTTAGGATGGGGTCAAGACAACCAAGAGAGCTACGAACTGAAGCAGGGCTGTCTTTTCTCAAAACATCAAATGACTCATTTTATTCTTGCGGGTAAATGCAGCTTTAGTTAAAAAAAAAAAAAAAAAAAAAAAAAAAAAATATATCAGTATTGAACATATGGATAAATAGAGGTTAATGAAACAGGAACTTGGATTAAACTCAAATGGTTTAAATATAGAACAGGTAATAGCACAATAGTTGGGCACTCTGTTGGAAATGTGCTAAACCTCAGCTCCATGCAGATGTCCCTTCTTTCTTAAGGCCATTAAAGCGAGTCACAAATGCTTTTATATGCCGCTGAAGCAATGCAAAGCCCTTCCATTTCCTTTGTTCCCGTTATATACGCAGCTGTATGGAAGGGAGAATTCCAGCTGCTTTGTATTTCTAAGCCAACAGGTTGGTTCCAAGCACCATTTCAGCACTGATTAGCCAAGCTGTTAAAACTCCCTCTTAAGGTCACACTCCCGTATCTGAAATAAATTTACACAATAGCGAACAACAAAACAGGGATACATCTGTGGATTTTCGATGCTGGGAAGATAAGCTTGAAAACAGAAGCTGTAACCTTTTAAAAACAAAAAATTAATTCAGATTAAGTTCTCAGGATGATACAAGGAAATAAAAAGTTATGTTGCTTCACAATAACGTGCTGGGTGGCTCTGGCTTTATGTCGTCAACCAAGAGAAAGGCTCACATGTGTGCACTGGAAGTGAACTCCTTTTAAATGGGCCAAGTCACATGCTCATCATTACAAAATATCTTGCAAGTGCAATGAAATCATATGACTCTGCGTCTACAAGGAAGATTCCCTCCGTACACAATAAAAGGCAACAGTTAAGTAACCCAGATAAACAACTACTTACCATTTCCTCCCCCCTGCAAACTTGGCTATTCATTTTTACTATCAGAGTTTTCATTTGAAATGCACTTAAGAGTTTCTCTGGATTCATGCAGGATGAGAAAGCTGAACACTAACCTGTGTTCTTTTACAGAAATGCTTACATTTAAAAAAAGAGGAAAAATAGTAAGTCAGTCATCTGGAAAGCTGCTTTTTTGCCCCCTGACTTCATTCTGGGCAGGACACAGACTGACTTTTCTGCTCTTCCTGAGAGATAAGATTGTTGTATTCTTTGCAATTCTTCCTTATTTTAAAAATAAAGGCTGTGTGTTCAGTGCAGGGTGCTGTTGAATTCCTAGTTTATGTTCTGCACTGACCAGGCTGATTTTGTAAATCCTTATATAAGTCAGGGATGCTGGGACCTATTTGACAGTGAGTGAGATTCAAAACCCTCGGGGATTTTGCATTCTTCAATCAGAATTAGATTGCTAGGTCAAAATACCAGTGTTCGTTATTGATCGCTGTTTGTTGCTGAGTGGGGGGCAAACTGGGGTAACTTCTCTCAATGAAGTTAAACCTGGCTTTAGTCTCTGCTGAAGCTAATCTTGAGATTTTAGCTCTTTGAACGGATGGATGCCTTTAGGAAGAGTGGAGCAGCCCTGCCCTAGCCCACCTTCCCCGGCCAAGCCCGCAGCTCTCATCTTGTTACTACCACAGCGGCTTACAGCTCAACCACCATCCGGTCAGCTTCTCATCAAGGACTCGCCAGGCTTTTACACTGGGGGACTACTGAGTCATCTAAAAAGCGACTGACATATTGCGTCATTCCCTCACAGGACACCCATGTCCTGCATCCGAAGCTCTTCTGGTTGCCTTTAATAGTTCCTCTGCCTTAAATGCTGACCCACAGCTCTGCTCTGACACTTTCAGATTCGACTGGTAGGCTGGATGAGTTAACTTTCCCATAAGCACTTCACAAATCACAAGTTCAACCTACCGCTCCCGATTTTAATTCTTCTTGCCTTTTTTGTTAACTCGTGGTGCAAAAAAAAATCATCTATCCACGGTTTCACTGTCAGCAACTCTGTGTTGCTTTCCAGTCAAATGGCTATTTGGTTTAACAGCAATAGACTCCGGGGGAAGTTTCTTTGACGGCTTCCACAGAAGTGAACAGGAGTCAGGACAAAAGAAAAAAAAAAAAAAAAATCACTGGAAGAAGTTTCAGCAGCAACCAGCTTCATTTGACTTGCAGGAAATTAACAATCAGTGTTTATGTACTCATGAAACCATTCCAAGAAAGCATAACATTATACTACACCCCAGTGGCAGATTGAAGATGCTCCCAAGGGGGAAACGTAGCAGAGAGAGAGAGGTCAATGAAAAGGTAGCTGGCAGTATGTTTGGAGGAGGGAAGGAAGAAAGCACAGATCATAAAGCGCTTTGGCTCGTTCAGATTTCTCCACGTCCTCCATGATCTGACCCAGCAAGGACCACAAAGGAAGGACTCTGAAGGTACCACTGGCTCGTTACGGGGCACAACGATCATCAGTTGCAGGGCCTGTAGCTGTACGCTCTTTTCTTTTTAAACTATTTCATCCTCACTGTAGTTCAGCATTTTCATACACTAAAGAGTCAGCAAGCGTGTTTATCCTGCACTATC